CTTGACGTTTCTGTAGATGGCCCATGTAATGTTAAAGGGAAGATAAAGTCTATTAAGCAGGCAGCTCGTCAGATAGTTATAATTTTACTCCTAATTGAGTATGTTTACTTTTGATCATTGTTCCCCATTCCACCCCACCCTCAATCTCTTATCTCCTGTTCAAGTGAAAATAATAAGCATGATTATGTAATGTCTCTGTCATGTTTTGAATCTCTTCTTAGGTTGACCTGACGGTTCAAGAAAAGGAGAAATATCTTAATGTGTCTCGCTGGTTTTGCCACATTCAGCATTACCCAGGTATCAAGCAACATCTGACTAGTGTTGTCTTCATCAAGAACAGACTGTATACCAATTCCCATTAGAAGTTTCCCAGGCCATACAGAAGCGTTATTAAAACGGACCACAGGACTAACATAAATTGATAGTCATTATTAGTTGACAAGAGCTAAATTTTAAAGTGTACACTTATGTTAGAATGTTTATTTGTTCTTTGGTTGAAATTTTGCAATTTTTTTATGTAAAAACTGTTGTCAAAATCAAGTCTTAAATTACCTTGTCTTATAGGTGAAATTTTAATAAAAGTTGCAAATCAGTGGTTTAATCCATAAGGAAAAACAGTGTTTTCCATGGGTGATGTATTTGGCTATTTGTTGACCTCTGTTTTGTATTTTAAAATTCATTTTTCCCCCATGGACATTTAGCTAGTTTGTTTATTATCATCTATAATAAATTGTGCCAAGGAAAGGGAAGAAAGATGGACTTGTTGTAAAATATTTATGTGAGCTGGTAAATGTGGTTAAAAACGCTGCTTTGTTTGTTTCTCCCTATAGTCAGTGTTCACTGGGTGAAACTAACTACTGAACTGCCCGAGAGGGAACTGGAGTAAGATATGTTCCCTTGAGCTAACGTTCTTCATGGTGTTCTTGGGCTTAATGAAAGATGCAGTGGCTAAAAGAACGGAAAAATGCTAGCTACCTCACAAATGTGAGACTTAATTGTTAGGTATTCCTAAGCTGGAAGCCTGGTTTCATTGAAAGACTGCTACTGCAGCACTGTGAACAACAAAGAAGAAAACACTGTACAAATAGACCCATACGTTTTCTAAAGTTACTGCCTGTGTAAGTACTCGTTATTGAAAGCTAATGAGCTTATCTTTCCAAATAAAGTAGGTTGAGTGCTTTAGGGTTTGATGCTATTTAATGTGTTGGTGCTAATTTTGATCTGTCTAATCTAATTAGTATGCAATTTAAAGTTCCGGTTGAAAGAGCAGCCCTTTGGTTTGACCTAAGGGGAAATGATCACATATGTACTAAAGAGAAAAAAGGTGGCACACCATCAAAACTATGTCTGACCAAATCTGAAGAGCAGTACAAGATTAATGATTTATATTAAAATTGGACAGTGCTTTAACCCTTTCAGTAGACAAACTAAACACCGACGTTAGTCTTTCCAAAGTCTTTGTAAAAGTTTTTGTTGTAAAGAGCCAGGCAGAAAATGTTGTTGATGCAACAGGCCAGAGTGAGGGAGGATAACGGAGATAGCTGTCCTCTGTTTACATGACTTAGAATCCGGAAGAGGACTCCCTTAAGCCAATCTTCCTCATTCTCTGTGTGTGTCTCTCATTTCATTTTCCTGTCTTTCTCATTGGCAAACTGCTTCTTCCAGGCTGCCCCAGTAGTCAGAGACTGTTCAGAGCTACTGCCCCTCCTTGTCTCCTTGCGACTTCCCCTTTGATGTTTGGCAGTCCACGTGGGGCACTGTGGGTGAAACTGGAACCCTGACTGCAATGCTTTAGTTTTAGGCGCTAACCCATTCCCTCTTCTTGATTAAAGATTGAGAGTAGCCATCGATGATCAACCTGGGCATAGGTGGGCTCTTGAATGATGGCCATGGTAGGCTGTTTAAACTCTGGTCCTTCACTAGGACTTAGGATGTAAGTGTGATCTCCACTCAGCATATTGTAATGTTGACCAGAGCTGAGGTACATCACCTTGGTCCAAGCCATTCT